TCAGTTTCATTCAGTAACAATGAAATACATTGGTATTAGCAATCATAATGTGTTAACAAAAAAAAAAATCTCGATCACTTGCCCAGAGTAGTTCAATGTTACTATGGTAACATTGTATTGCTTTGGTCACAGTGTGCTGAAAAATAAAAATTCATAAAAAAAGAAAAACATTTAATTTAAAAAATAATAGAAATATTTGAAAAGAAATACAAATTTTATTATTATTATTTTCACCAAAGAAATGTAGCAGAATACATGTTGACCTAAATTTATAAAGAAATGTTATTTATTTGCAAAATTTTATAACAAACGACAAAAAGTGTTTTTTTTTTTTTTTTTTCAAAAGTTTCAGGTGTTTTTTGTTTTTATTTAGCAAAAAATAAACTCAGTGATTAAATACCACCAAAATAAAGCTCTATTTGTGTGAAAAAAATGATAAAAAATCTCATATGGGTACAGTGTTGCATGACTGCGCAATTGTCATTCAAAGTGCAACAGCGCTGAAAGCTGAAAATTGGCCTGGGCAGGAAGGGGGTATAAGTGCCCAGTATTGAAGTGTTTAACCACTTGCCGTTTGGAACAATTATGACATTTTTCACATACATGTAAAAATCAGCAATTTGTTGCTAGAAAATTACTTAAAACCTCCAAACATATATTTTCTGAAAGTAAAGGTCCTGAAGAATAAAATGGTGTTTGTTGCAATTTTTTGTCGTGTACATATGCACAGCTGTTTTTCACACAAACAGTTTTCAAGAAAAATACACCTAAATGCATTTTAATGCACACAAGCAATAAAATATCCATATACAAAAGAAATGCAGCGCTCTAAAATTAATATTGGAAATAGTAAACACAGTCCAGTAAAACAACAGTGCTCCTTGTTTCCCAGTGTAAATGGTAGAATTTTGCACTAACCAGAACGCGCATGGGTAATGCGCATATATGTGTAAATCCTGAAGATCCTTTTCTCCACTTAAGGCTGGTCAGGTATATGGCTTGGAAGAATGGAGATCCTACGCCCTCATGTGGTGGGAAATAATCCAGCAGGTCAAAGCTATGACGATCCAGATGAACCTCCACAGGAACTGGCACAGGAATCCCAAGGGCTACAAGGATGGAAAAGCTCCTCACAGGAGACACAGGGGAGCACTCATAGTGTAGTAATTTAAAACTTTATTTGATGGGACCCTAGGACGCCGTTGACATTAAGCCGCCGGTGCCACGAGGAGGCCCGGCGGCCATTTTGACATCTAATAGGGTCAGTGTGTTTGCCCATACTTGGCTATTCTCCTGTATTCTGCACCTGTGCTGCTTTCAAATAAAGTTTTAAATTACTACACTATGAGTGCTCCCCTGTGTCTCCTGTGAGGAGCTTTTCCATCCTTGTAGCCCTTGGGATTCCTGTGCCAGTTCCTGTGGAGGTTCATCTGGATCGTCATAGCTTTGACCTGCTGGATTATTTCCCACCACATGAGGGCGTAGGATCTCCATTCTTCCAAGCCATATACCTGACCAGCCTTAAGTGGAGAAAAGGATCTTCAGGATTTACACATATATGCGCATTACCCATGCGCGTTCTGGTTAGTGCAAAATTCTACCATTTACACTGGGAAACAAGGAGCACTGTTGTTTTACTGGACTGTGTTTACTATTTCCAATATTAATTTTAGAGCGCTGCATTTCTTTTGTATATGTATTTTGGGACTTTTTATGTGTTTTCCTATATGTTCAGCTGCTTGCACTATTTATGAGCGCTTACTATTTATTACTATCATTCCAATAAAATATCCAATTTCTGGTAAATCTAAAAGATGGTGTTGCGCAGAGTAAATAGATACCACACATGCCAAGATTTAAAATTGTGCAAGTAGAAAAAGGCAAGAGCCACAGGTAAGGCTAAAATTATATCATCTTAAGGGCTCGTTCACACTTGACTGTTTTACCAACGTTTGCTAAACGCCCCTATAGCGTTTGGCAAGCGTTGGTCTGGCGTTTGTGGAGCGTTTTTAATGCTCGGCAAACACTCCGCAAATGCTGCATGCATCTTTTAGTGGAGGTTGCTAGGCGTTTGCAGAGCGTTAAAAAACGTCCCACAAACGCCTATAATGAAGTTTGAATGTTGTTACTGCTCTGCAAACGCCCCGCAACCGGGCGTTTGCGGAGCGGCACTATAGACTAGAGTAGGAGGCTTCAACTCCTGACTCGACCAGAGGCGTCCGTTTTGCTGCGCCACTACCGCTCCCGTTAGAACAGCACCATGTGCTGCAATGGGCAGAATTGTCCGAGGCGTTTGGGAAGCGGTAAAAACGCTTCCCAAACGCCTTTCTGCCGCTAGCAAACAAGGCTAGTGTGAACGTAGCCTTATTTATAACTAGTGATAAAATAGCCAAAATTACGCCAATGTGTTTCAGCCCATCAGGCCTTAGTCACGGTCATGACTAAGCTTTGATGGGCTGAAATGCGTTGGCTATTTTATCACCAGTTATGGATAAAGATGAGATTTTTAGCCATACATGTGGTGCTTGACTTTTTCTAAATGGGATTATCTGTGGTGCTACCCTCGGAGCAGATGATTACTGCTTTGGAGATTAGCAACTCAGACACACCTGTTCCAGTTAAAATTGCGCAGGCCTGTGAAATGGCGACAAACTATGGCACCTAAAATTTACCCGTAGGCAATGTTTTAAAAGCCTTTACAGGCTATCAATGTAAGGTTAAATGTGAACTCTGGTGCTAGAATCACTTTGACGTTAGTGGTGACACCTCACATTTGTGGTGCAATTGCTTTTTACATACATATGCATGCGGGACCTATGTGCACATTTGCATTTATGGAGATATATGGGGCCTGTTAGACCCCCTCATCCCTCCTCTGCCCTTCTTTGCGCTCCGGCCAGTGAAACACAGCATTAAAACTGGTGGTGAAGAAGTCTTCGCTGCTTCCAGCTTCATTAGTCACAGAGGAGATGGAAGAACAGATGTTTCTTTATCTCCTTTGTGGCCAGCTGAACTGATCGTTTACAACAGTAGCGGGCTCTCCAGTAGAGTTCTGTTTTATTTGACCTAAAATGTTTGAGAATGTGTTATTTATAGTGCCCCTCGGTTTCTCACATTGCTCTTTGGTACTCACAATGCCCATCAATCACACACAGTGCCCCCTGTTCACTCACAATGCTCCACGGTTATTCATAGTACCCCTCAGTACTTACAGTCCCCTCCTCAGTACCCATTGTCCAGTGGTCTTTCATAGCGGTTCTCTACAGAACACTTACACTGCAGCCTTCACATTCTCCACACCACCAGTTGCTCCAGTGTCTGTTCTCACAGTCCCTATGCTTCTCCAGCATTTTGGCCAACTGTGACCTCACCGCTCCAGAAAACCGGCTCATGACATCCCAACATGTGTTACTCCAGCAGCCCAGCGATTCTGCTCAGTTTCCACCAAATCTTTTCAGTCACCCCTACTACCACTCCTGTGATCCCTAGTGGCAGCTACTGCTCTACTGTTGCTGTTTTTTAAATGTTTTAAATATTTTTAATTAAAAATCAAGAAAATAACCAATTAAAGCCAGGTACTGTGTCATGTCTATGGGGGTGCAGCAGCTGCACAGACAGTCATTTGACAGCCATGTTGGTGAGTGGCCCTGATCAGTGTTTTTTTTTTTTTTAAATTAAATAAAAAACCCAAATTAACCATTAGTTTCGGTTCACACTACTGCAGCCTGAAAGTGCTACTTTGCCAGGTGACTTCAGTACTACTTTGATGCGACTTTCAAGGAATGCCTGGGTAACCTTCTTGTAATGTTGGATCCAAATCACAGCATTATAGATGAGGATCCAGCTTGGAAGCGACTTCCATTAAATTCCATGGGCACAAGTCGGATAGAAGTCAACTTGAAGTAGTATAGGATCCTTTTCTAAAGTTGCAGCGACTTCAGTAGTACTAATAAGACAGCTCTCATTGACTGACATGGGTGTCATGCAACTTGGGGTCTCACAAGTCTGATCCCAAGTTGAGGCAGTGTGAACTAAGCCTAACAGTGCAAAACACAAATTAGGGGTTCAGCACTCTCCATAGATTAAAAAAATCTACCTCTTAATCAAAAAGCCTTTAAAATACACATTCACCCAACTCTGAACTAGAGTATATTGTGCAAGGAAAAAATGGGTGAATGTAGTGAACATGGGCTGAATAGCACAGTAAAGCACTTTTCCCATCTTGTTTAAAATTTTCGCAAATCTCATTTGAACCTATTTTTAATGGGAAAATCCCATTTGAAAATTGTGCAAAAAACACATAAATTTGAGTAAATATGAAAACTGAGTCTTGGCTGAAAAATTGATGAACCCTCTAAATAAAAACTGCAAATATTGGTCAAAAATAGTGATTAATATACTCCTAGGTCTGGGCTTGTGTTTGAAGATCCAACATGGAAAAAAATTGGGCTCCTTGCCATGTGTAGCATCAGATGTGACTAGTTTGCTTGCTTGAAAACTACATTCCTATTCCAAGTAAGGAACTCAAAGTACGGAAACCACTAGATCTTCACTATAGCCAGGTAACAAGTATGTTCAGAGGGATAGATGACCATATCAGAACTTCGTGAAAGAAAATGGGTGGAAATCTCCCCAATAGGGACATAGACAGCAGTGTAAACCTGCCAAAGGCCCTAGCCCTTCTCTGCTCTCGCCAAATTGAAATAAAATGTCTTGTCTGGAGTTGGGCTTTAATCAGGCCCAGGTTTCCTTGATGAGAACCATATATTCACACATGTTCTCTCATGATGACTGCCAGCACCACCGATTTATATCCCGACAAACAACGAATTTCTATTTGACTCCTATTTCTTGAAGTGATCATACATTATGAGGTATAGATTTAGTTTATGGTGACATTGACTTGTTCTCGATTTTTCAGCTGCTTCCACTTTGGCTATGCAAACCTTTGTGTGTGCGTGCAGTTTATTTACTTCACTTCCTTCTTTTCTTTTTCCACCAGATGTTCTCAAACAATGATGAAGCTCTTATTAACAAGAAGCTTCCCAAGGAGCTGCTACTTAGGTGAGCACTTTTGAGATTCACAAAATTTTCACAAACAACATTCTATAGATAAACAGATGCATAATCTGTGTATCGGATGTATAGTCTGTATCTCACTTTATGTTCCTTAAAGCTGACCCAGCTTGGCTGGGGTTTGACAATCTAAAGGGTAATAGTGTTTCTTCTTCATTTTCATAGGATTTTCTCCTTCTTAGATGTTGTTACACTTTGTCGGTGTGCCCAAGTCTCCAGGGTAAGTGAAGTGGGTTTAAGATTATCCCCTCCAAAACTAATTTTTCACGTTTTTTTGTGCAGGTATAAGGCGACTAACTTTCTCCATAGCTCTTAAAATGTACATGAACACAGTACCATAGCAGCCAACTGTAATGCAGCATATTATATTACTTACTTTTAAATGGAACCTTAAAAATACGGACTAAAAAAAAAAAAAGCTCACAAGTTAACAAATTGCATACAATCAAGCTTTTTAGTACAGAAGAGATATACTATGTCTCCTCTGCATTAAAATATTTCAGCAACTGTCAGAAAAATTGAACTCTAGTGCAATCATGGGAGTGATGTCATCTAGGTCTAGCCCAGCAATGGGCAAACTACGGCCCGCGGGCCATATACGGCCCGGCGGACCTTTTAATCCGGCCCGCGGAGCGTGATACATTGGCTGTCAGGATGTGTGTAGGCGGGACAGCGTGCTGAACGTGAGGGGAGCTAGGCTCCTCTCACAGTCCGCCCTGAAGACCGGAACGGCGCGGGAACACGGCGAGAGGAACGCGCGGAGCAAAGGTAAGTGAATTGACACGGGGGACTTGGCTTACTACTTGGGGGGGAATAGTACTGTGGGGGATGAAATACTATATGAGGGATGAATTAATATGGGGGATGAATTACTATATGGGGGATGAATTACTATATGGGGGATGAATTACTATGCTTTCTATGGGGGAATATTACTATACTTACTATGGATGACACATACACATCATTCATCTACTCTTGGTCCGGCCCCCGGGTCCAATATATATGAACCCATTGCGGCCCTCAAGTCAAAAAGTTTGCCCACCCCTGGTCTAGCCGATAAAGTTGGCCAAAAATCGAAACCCTGGAGAAGGATGGCCAAAGATATCAGCAGCTGGAAGGGAGCTTCTGAACACTGTTGGAGAGGTGGCCAGTATAGTTCTGCTTTTTTTTTTTTTCTTAAATCTTTATTCAACATTTCCTTCTACAATCAAGAGACTGCACAGTGTCCCTTTCATACACTGTTCAAAAAAATTAAAGGAACACTTTGAAAATGCATCAGATCTTAATCTCATGCTGGATATCTATACTGATATGGAGTGAGTAATGTGTTAGGGAACGTAAGGATGCTCCATCGTTTGATGGAAATGAAAATGATCAACCTACAGAGAGGACTGAATTCAAAGACAACCCGGAAATCAAAGTGAAAAAATGATGCAGCAGGCTAGTCCATTTTGCTGAAATTTCATTGCAGCAACTCAAAATGGTACTCTAGTTTGTACCAAGGTTGGGGCATGCTTTTAATGAGACGATAGATGGTGTCCTGGGGTGTTTCCTCCCAGATCTGGACCAGGGCATCACTAAGCTCTTGGACAGTCTGAGGTGCAACCAGGTGGCATCGGATGGACCGAAACATGATATATCCCAGAGGTGTTCTATTGAATTTAGGTCAGGCGAGCGTGGGGGCCATTCAATGGTGTCAATTTCTTCATCCTCCACGAACTGCCTGCATACTCTCACCACATGAGGCCGGGCATTGTTGTGCACCAGGAGGAACCCAGGACCACCAGCATAGGGTCTGACAATGGTTTCAAGAATTTCATCCCAGTACCTACTGGCAGTCAGAGTGCCATTGTCTAGCCTGTAGAGGTCTGTGTGTCCCTCGACATGTATGCCTCCCCAGACCATCACTGACCCACCACCAAAATGGTCATTCTGAACGATGTTACAGGCAGCATAACGTTCTCCACGGCTTCTCTAGACCCTTTCATGTCTGTCACGTGCTCAAGGTGAACCTGCTCTTGTCTGTGAAAAGCACAGGGCGCCAGTGGTGGACCTGCAAATTCTGGTGTTCAATGGCAAATGCCAATGGAGCTCTATGGTGCCATGCAGTGAACACAGGGCCCACTAGAGGGCTTCAGGCCCTCAGGCCACCCTCATAATGTCTGTTTCTGATTGTTTGGTCAGAGACATTCACAACAGTGGCCTGCTGGTGGTAATTTTGGAGGGCTCTGGCAGTGCTCATCCTGTGCCTTCTTGCACAAAGAAGCAGATACTGGTCCTGCTGATGGGTTAAGGACCTTCTACAACCCTGTCTAGCTCTCCTAAAGTAACTGCCTGTTTCATGAAATCTCCTCCATGCTCTTGAGACTGTGCTGGGAGATGCAGCAAATTTTCTGGCAATGACACACATTGATGTGCCATCCTGGAGGAGTTGGACTGTCTGTGCAACTTCTGTAGGGTCCAGGTATCACCTCATGCTTCCAGTAGTGACACTGACCCTAGCCAAATGCAAAAACTAATGAAAAACAGTCAGAACAAATGAGTAGGGAAGAAAATGTCAGTGACCTCCACCTCTAAAACCATTCCTGTTTTGGGGATCATCTCATTGTTGCCCATCTAGTGCTTGTGTTGTTAATTTCATTAACACCAAAGCAGCTGAAACCGATTAACATCCCCCCTCTGCTTAACTGACTAGATCAATATCCCAGGAGTTGAATTGACTTGATGCTATAGTTTGACTACAAGGTGTTCCTTTAATTTTTCTGAGCAGAGTATATAACGGTGGACATATCTGCCTTCTCCAACACTGCTACAGCTTTAACAGAGGCTGTCAATCAAAACCGCAGAGCCAGCTCAGGGGTGAGGCAGCTCAACTAACTACAGAAGGCTTTCCAAAAAGAAAACTGAGACCCAAAACTGATCACGCCAGCATAGATCTGCCTTCATGGTCAGAATGAAAAAGACAAAGGGGTAAACTCCCAGAATCACCAGGTATATATGGTGCCTTGAATGAAGGAATAGCAAAATAAGCAGGCAAAATTTAGCCAACACAAAATTACATACAAGACCTATATGGGAAATTAACTAAATAGAGGTTACGCCCGTGCTACCTGCTATGTGATCCAACCAATGTGCAGTAAATCCATAATAATAACTGGTTGCTGCAACCATCTATTGTGTTTCCACAATTAAAAAACGTAAATAAAAATATGATTTTTTTTTTTTTATTCAAGACCCATATGTGAGATAGAATATATACGATACATTTACAGTGGGGAAAATAATTATTTGATCCCCTGCAGATTATGTAAGTTTGCCCACTTACAAAGAAATTAGGGGTCTCAATTTGTATGCAGTCAGCAGGCCCTTGCACTACATATCTGAAAGTAAATCTAAAGGAAATTGAACAACAAAATTTGCATAATGTATGGCCAGCTTAAGGCCTCGATTACATAGGGATACCTAAGCTTACATCAGTGTGAGGGCCTTGTTTTTCCCAGGCAGAATGCACAGGTGTTTCGTGCAGGCAGTCCTATTCATGTCAGTTGGGATGCAACTGCAGACATACAGCTGCTGCTCCCAATTTAACATCTGTGTGGGTGCGAGTATTTCCCCCCAGTTGCAGACAACGTGCGTTCGGGAACCCACACAGATATCCGATTGGGAGCAGCGGCTGTGTCTGTTCAGCCGCTGCGTCCCAACTGACATGAGTGGAATTACGAGCACGTGGACTCATGGCACACCTGTGCATTCTGTGTGGGCAAAACACAGCATTCACACAAACACCTAAAGTGTCATTAAACCTCTTGGGAGGGTGCGTGTGATCAGCACAGGGCCAATCAGCGCTGTGCAGACAGAGGGTCAGGGGTCCTGCAGCTTCATAGGACAATCGGGAGAATGAAAACTCCTCCTTCAAGCTTTAACCAGTGCTCTGCTGGACACTGATAGAAGTCACAAGACTGCTATATACTGCTGATGAGAAAAGGTATTTAGCAGTTTATATTTACTAAAATAATTGCATTTCCGTGTTCTGTGTACTGTGGGAGATCAGATATAGTGAATGCAGAGTTTAGTAACACTTTAAGTGTGCCTGTGTGAACCTGTGCCCGGATCATGCAACTGTAGCATTTACATATCTCAAAGAGGCAGTACAAACAATTCAAAACAAGCCCTCATTCACATCCGTATCTGTAGCAATTCTGGAGAAATTAGTTTTCAAATTTCACAGCAGAAGCACTGAAATCTTCACATATATTTTGGTATGAGAGCAGATCTTGGTAGCCTGCCAGCCCTCAAATGTAAAAAAATAGTATATGTTTATAAGCTGATAAGTGGTATTTCACAGAGGCACCGACAGCAGTGTTGGGAAAAGTGACGCATTTTATGCTTGGGAGTGACAGGTGTTTACAGCCACCTATACAAATCAGTGACAGGCTGCAGCTGTACGCTGGTATCCACATTTCTGAGTGTTCATTTGCACACAGGGGACAGATGATCATCCCTGGTTACAACCTGTGTCCAGGGGTGCATTTCTGTCCATGTTTGCAAGTAAACACTTGGATGTGCAGTTACCAGTGTAGAGCTGCAGCCTGTCATTGATTTGTAAAGGAAGCTGTCTGGAAACACCTGTCACTCGCAGTAGAAGAAATATGTGTTTTTCCTACTGTAAAAGGCTCTCTATAAACATGTGAATGAACCCTTAAAAACCAACTAAAACCCAACTTTAGAGTGTCTGGATTTTTTGAGGATCTTTGAGAATTAATAACTTACATTCAAAGCAGCTACTTAGTTGGGTGAGGGCTTGTTTTAAAGCACTTTAGTGCCAGTGAAATAATTCCAAAATGATTCTTCAATATAATACTCCCAATTTCTAATTCATAATCGGTGTGTGCCTCCAAAAATGCATTATACCTCCAAAATATGAAAATGAAACTGGATAGTGTATTATCCTCAGTATAACAGCGATTAAGTCATATATATACTTGTAGAAAATTGTGCAAACACAAAACCATACAAAAAAAACAATGTGAAATAGTGAAGCACTCCGTGTACACTCCCATATACACACTTCTCTGTGAGCACTCCGTGGACACTTCTATGTGGCTAAATTAAATACTCTTACCCTAATTAAGTGATATAAAGGCCTTCTAAGAGAATACTCCAGTGGGTCATCAATCATCAGCACTATCCCACAGACTTTATATCAGATGCCAAGTTATCCCTTCCTTCCCATCATGCCTTAATATTCCGCAGAGCCATCCACAGGTACTCATTCATAGAAAGAGAAATAGCCATATAGTGTAGTATATCAAATCCAACCAGATCCAGGCTTTATTCCATATGCTTACATTAGATAAAACATAAAACCGCATATATTCTCAATTCCCATCCACTTGCAGCTTCCTGGAACGTCAAATAGTGATATAACCTCACTTAAGATGGCCGCTCCGCCACTTCCAGTTACCGTGCAATGCCACATCCCTTGACACTATTTGACGTTCCAGGAAGCTGCAAGTGGATGGGAATTGATGCGTCGGTTTTATGTTTTATCTAATGTAAGGGAATTGAGAATATATGCGGTTTTATGTTTTATCTAATGTAAGCATATGGAAAATAAAGCCTGGATACTGGTTGGATTTGATATACTACACACATATGGCTATTTCTTAACTTTCTATGAATCAGAGCTACACTCTCACCCGGAATGGATCTTCCTTTGGCTCCAGGTGGAGGAATATTAAGGATCATGATGGGAAGGGGCTCAGGGCCATTCAGAACTTGCGCTTCTGATATAAATGTCATTGTGGGATAGTGACTGATGATTGAATGACCTACTGGAGTATTCTCTTTTTAGAAGGTTTTGTTCCTTTATAATCACTTATCTTCTCAGGGTAAGGCTTTTGTTATTTTTTGGCAAACTGTTAGCCTGTGTCACATAGAATTTAAATGTGTTCCGCTGGAGTGAGCCTGCAGGACACAACATGTTTGGGGCTGCTTATCCACCATCCGTGTTGCAATCTTTCATCATTTTCCTCATCCGAACCAGGGAGATTAGTACACCATGGAGTGCTTCACTATTTCACATTTTTTTTTTTGTGTTATGTGTTTGCACAATTTTCGACAGGTGTGTGTGTGTGTGTGTATATATGTATATGTGTGTGTGTATATAAAACATATATATATATATATATATATATATATATATATATATATTTCATATATATATATATATATATATATATATATATATATATATATATATGATTTAATAACTATTATATTGAGGATAATACACTATCCAGTTTCATTTTCATTTTTTGGAGGTATACTGCATTTTTGGAGGCACATGGCGATTATGGATTAGAAATTGGGACTATTATATTGAAGAATCATTTTGGAATTATTTCACTGACACTAAAAAGGTTTATGATTTATAATTTTGGACTTTCAAGGGTGAAAGTGGGACTTTTGAGTGTCAATAAATAGGGTATTTATTGTATCACAGTTTGTTATTGTTTTGGATACCGATTTTGCATTTATCATATATTGTTTTAAAAGCTCCTTTGCGTTCTAAGAATATTCAAATAGTTTAATGTCCATAGTCTGGGCAAAGGTGCACTTCAAAGGAAGGCCAGCTGACATCATGTTCTAAATGCACTCTGCAGCCAAATCTGAAAAATAAAGTTACATACAGGGAACAAATCTATCTGTGTGGCACTTCAGGAATTGCTATAGTACACGAGCTCCTTTGTGGTGATCTTAGAACACGCCTGAATTTTATGCTGGAACACTTTCTTGCAGCCTTTATACATAAGCAAGGAAAATAGGGAAGCTCATGTTTTGCGCAGTTAAACCTTTAATGATCAAAATATTAAAATCAACAATGGTTGCATTCAGTACAGTACTACAGCCCTGGCCAAAAGTTTTGAGAATGACACAAATATTAATTTTCACAAAGTCTGCTGCTTCAGTGTTTTTAGATCTTTTTGTCAGATGTTACTGTGGTAAACTGAAATAGAATTACATGCATTTCATAAGTGTCAAAGGCTTTTATTGACAATTACATTAAGTTTGTGCAAAGAGTCAATACTTGCAGTGTTGAGCCTTCTTTTTCAAGACATGTGCAATTTGCGCTGGCATGCTGGCAATCAACTTCTGGGCCACCTCCTGACTGATGGCAGCCCATTCTTGCACAATCAATGCTTGGACTGTCAGAATTTGTGAGAGGTTTTTTGTTCAACCGCCTCTTGAGGATTGACCACAAGTTCTCAATGGGATTAGGATCTGGGGAGTTTCCTGGCCATGGACCCAAAATTTTGATGTTTTGTTCCCCAAGCCACTTAGTTATCACTTTTGCCTTATGGCAAGGAGCTCCATCGTGCTGGAAAAGGCATTGTTAATTACCCAACTGTTCTTGGATGGTGTGGAGAAGTTGCTTCTGGAGGATGTTTTTGTACCATTCTTTATTCATGGCTGTGAGTGAGCCCACTTCCTTGGGAATTGGAAAGGGAATTCAGCAAAGAGAATAACTTTCTGCCAGTCCTCAGCAGTCCAATCCCTGTACATTTTGCAGAATATCAGTCTGTCCCTGATGTTTTTCCTGGAGAGAAGTGGCTTCTTTGCTGCCCTTCTTGACACCAGGCCTTCCTCCAAAAGTATTCACCTCACTGTGCATGCAGATGCACTCACACCTGCCTGCTGCCATACTTGAGGAAGCTTTGCACTGGTCGTGCCTCGTTCCTGCAGCCGAATCAACTTTAGGAGACCGTCCTGGCGTTTGCTGGACTTTCTTGGGCACCCTGAAGCCTTCTTCACAACAGTTGAACCTCTCTTCTTGAAGTTCTCGATGATCTGATAAATGGTTGATTTAGGTGCAATCTTAGTAGCGGCACCATCCTTGTCTGTGAATCCCTTTTTTTTGCAAAGCAATGATTATTGCATGTGTTTACTTGCAAGTAACCATGGTTAATGGAGGAAGAACAATGATTTTAAATATCACCCTCCTTTTTTAAAGCTTCCAGTCTGTTCTTGTAGCTCAATCAGCATGACAGAGTGATCTCCAGCTTTGTTCGCGTCAACACTGACATTTGTGTTAACAAGACAATCCCTGATATGATGTCAGATGGTCCTTTTGTGAGAGGGCTGAAATGCAGTGGATATGTTTTTTTGGGAATAAGTTCATTTTTATGGCAAACAGGGACTTTGCAATTAATCGCAATTCATCTGATCACTCTTCATAATGTTCTGGAGTATATGCAAATTACCATCATAAAAACTGAGGCAGCAGACTTTGTGAAAATTAATATTTTTATCATTCTCAAAACTTTTGGCCACGGTTGTAAATAAACTAAAAATGCTTTGAATGTAGCCCCATTTTGCTGAAGTTGTAGAAATGCTCACATCAGGACCAGTGATGTCCGGTGGTTACTCAGCATGAAGTTTGAATCTGACAGGGTGAAGGAAGGCAGGCAGTTCAGCTCCACACTGGGATTGACTGTACATCACAAACTGCTATCTCAAGACAAGGCTTGAGAAAGGGGGACATGCCCCCGAAACATGTACCCAACAGTAGGAGTGACCTGTGTGAGCCCAGTAATGGCAGTCTCTGATGTTCAGCTGAACCCAGTGTGGAGCTAAATTGCCGTCCTCCCTTCAGTCTGCAGTGAGGCACTGTTCACATCTGGTTTTTTTGGGATCTCAGGCACAATTGCTGCAATTCTGCCTGTAATCTCAAATCACACTGCAATAGTGGCGAAATGCACCATGCATGTTCGAATGCCATTCATTTTCAATGGCACCTAAATGTGGTTTGGTTCTGCCATGATTGTCGCGCAAAAAGGAGCAGGAGCTTCTTTTGGGTGATCAGCTTCATGCAGTGCAGTTTGCCACGATTAAAGTGTGATTTATTGCGCAACAATCACTGCAGAACTGCACCAAGTTTAGGTGCTATTGAAAATTAATTGCACCCGAACACTTGCGGTGCATTTTACTACTATTGCAGTGCAATTTGAGATCGTAGGCAGAATCGCAGTGAGAGTCCAAAATGCCCGCCTGAGAGCTTCAAACTTCATGCAGAACAACCACTGGACAACACTGACCCATATGTGAGAAGTTCTACAACTTCAGCAAATTGGGGCTACACTCAAGGCACTTTTAGTTTAGGAAATATGTCAGTGCAACCATTGTTCATTTTAATACTTTGATCATTGAACGCTTTACTGTGCAAGGTGGGCAGTGCACTTCCCTCTTTTTCTCTTGTATGTTTTTTGCTCAGATTCAGTGCATTCCCTAGCATGGAGTAATCCAGGACAACTGCAGAAGACTTTGCGTCAGTTCTTCCAAAGGCTTGGGACTTCATTATATATCATTTTTTTTATCACATTGCTAATGGTCTTGTTTTTATTTGCCATGTAGCACTGGCAGTATTACTTTTTTTTGTTTTGTTTGTTTGTTGTTTGCTTTATACATAAAGTACCTTTTGATGCAGACAAAATAATCACTTGTTTTTTTAGGCGTCTTTTTTTTTTTTTAATTGACACTTTGTTGCGCTATAACTTGACCAGCACATCACTTGATGCTTTCAGGCTTGGAACGTCCTTGCTCTTGATGGTAGCAATTGGCAGAGAATCGACTTATTCGACTTTCAGAGGGATATTGAGGTACCTATGTTGTTTTTGATCTTAAACTGTTTATTGGTTAGTTAGCTAGCATTGACTTGCAAATTACTATTGCCTTCTCTCTCAGTAAGTCCTCCACATGACATCTTTTTTCTTTTTCCAGGGCCGTGTAGTAGAGAATATATCCAAAAGATGTGGTGGGTTTTTGCGCAAACTAAGTTTACGTGGATGCCTGGGTGTGGGAGATAATGCTCTCAGGTCTGATTTTTTAATTTTTTTTTTTTTACCATCATTTTTACTGTCATCTTAGTTTATTTTCGGTTAACTGAGTTCTGTGTCTTCTGCAGAACCTTTGCTCAGAACTGTAAGAATATTGAAGTTTTAAACCTGAATGGCTGCACCAAAATCACTGACACGTGAGTAGTCTGTCTAGGCAGAGGTGGATAGTGGTGTTCATTATATTGTGCCTTTGTTATGTGCCCTTTTAGGTGTTTAGCTGTTTAGTGTTCTGTCTCTCTTCCCCTGCCTGGAATAGTGCAGTGGTATTCTATACACACAACAGCAGCTGCCTAATTTTCATGGGCATCTCATGTCTAGAGTTTATTCAAATTTTTGTGCTACTTTTCAGTTGCATCAGCCATCTTATGTCGGATTGGTTGACCTTTGTTTGAGATTTAAACTGACAATGTGCAATTAATTTGCACATCGAACAGGGAAGATGAAATCTTAAAGAAGAACTCCGGGATAATGATTAAATTTGCACATTAGCCCTGTATAGTTAGTTAAGTAAAACTTCTTCTAAAGCGATTTAGAATAAAATTGCTCGCTGTGTACAAACCTCACACTTTTAAAATCAATGTCCCCTCTTTACAGAGAATTTTTTCTATCCCTGGGCTCCAGGAGGGAGGGATCTCTGAAGCAGTGACATCACTTCCTATTTGTGCTTGTCAACACGTACTAAGATTACAAATCCCATTATGCCCTGGGATTTAGAGTCTGAATGGGTGTTGGGCTTCTGTGGTATGAATCAGACTCCTGGCTTGTCCATTTAACCACTGTACAGTTGGCGGTTCCTGGAGTTTCAGACTCCCTGTCTGATCCGCCCATTGTACATCATTGTTAAATGTACAAGGCAGCAGGGCTGTCTTAATGCATGGTCACCCCTGGGCAATGCCCAGGGGCCCCAGGTGCATGGGGGCCCCATGATAATCTTGCATTACATCATACTTGCCAACTGTCCCGAATTTGCCGGAATAGTCACGCTTTTTACTAAGCTGTCCCAGGCATCATCCCATAACCTGTACTGTGCCCTCCTGATCCCAAAATTGTGCCCACCTGACCCTCCATGTCCTCTCTACTGTGCTCTTTTGCCTCCTTTGCCCCCCCCTTTCCCAGCCTATGCCCTTTGTGTAGATTAATCTTTGATGTATGGCATGTTTTTTTTTATTGATTAAAATACATTTTATTGAAAGTGCTAATACATATATGTTTTATTTCGTCAACTATTTAATTCTTGAGAGTAGGTGCATAAATTGGGACAGGTTGGAGGGACCCCTGTACATGACTTTGCCAAGGGGCCCATGAGGCTATTAAGACAGCCCTGCAAGGCAGGAGTCTGAACTGAATCATGCCATACACATATTCATCACACACTTCCATAGTCCTGCTCACAATGCTGCCCATTCAGACTGTAGTTCTCAGTAAAGCCAGCTCTTGTGGCAGTGGGTTTAAGGCTTCCCCCCTGATCCGCCCACTGTACAGCATAGTTAGAAGGACAAGCCCAGGGGCCTGAATTATTCTATACCAACAGCCCGCCCACATTGCCGCCTATTCAGACTGTAGTTTTCTGTAAAACAAGCTCCTAAATCAGTGGGCTGCGCAGGTAATCTCAGACTCCCAGTCCAGTCCAAGTACAATAGTGGTAACAGGCGCATGTAACCAGGGAAAAGGTGAATAAATAATATGACTGGTAAAAAAAAGTTCAGTATGTAAAAAAAAAGTCCATTCACTTGGCAGGCTGTGTAGAGAGCAGAAGCCAACTCCAATACCATGTAAAACAGAAGAAGACACAGCGCCTCTAAGTGTAGACTGTTACAATTTATTAATAAAAACAGATAAACTCCCATTTACAAAGTGTGACAAGGGCTCATATGTGTAATGGGTGGCAGAAGATGTCCGGATGTCGAGCACAGCGCTGGAGCACAGTGGATGCACTGGCAGTGTGGAGCAGAGAAGCTGGCAGGCACCTGTATCCAGGAAAGCCAAGTTGAGGCGCAACGTGGAGCGCAGGCATCTGTGAATGTTGCGGTGTCGTGACGTCACCCAGGGGGATAGCAGAGAAGCTTCCCCCTGGGTGACGTCACGATGCTGCAACATCCATAGACGCTTGCTCTCCACTTGGCTTTCCTGGATAGAGGTGCCTGCCAGCTCCTCTGCTCCACACTGCCAGCGCATCCACTGTGCCTCAGTGCTGTACTTGACATCTAGACCACCCATTACACATACGACACCTTGTCTCACTTTGGAAATGGGAGTTTATCTACCTTGGTTTTTATTAATAAATTGTAACAGTCTACACTTAGAGGCTAGATATGTCTTCTTCTGTTTCCCAGTCCAGTCCGCCCACAGTCTCAATGGGCGCTCACTTTACCGAGAGCTACAGGGGGATAGAGGGAACAGCAGCCACTGGTCTTATGAACAGGACATTAGGAGAACAGAGGGCTTCCCACAGAATAAGGAAGGCTGGATTTCTGAATTCCAAGGGGACTGTGCATTGTGACACACAGAATTTCTTTAAAGGTATGGGAACACCTGTATACATATAGCATAAAATTTCTGCCCGGAGTTCAGCTTTAAGCTAAATCTTGTTTTGCATTTGTTACACAGCCTTTTGTATTTTTTTTTTTTTTTTAATTAAACACTAGACTGTAACAAGCAGTCTAAATCTGGCCATAAATGGATCAAAAATCGGCCAGTTCACCAAGGACAGGCCTAATTTCGATCCAATCCCTGTTCCCTCTTGAGAGAAGTTGATCTAATGGTTGGCTTCTCTCGAACAGGAATGTTGGAAATTTTTCATTTGATCAGTGCATGCAGTCAGTCTGCTGCAGCGCTGTTCAGTGTTCTCTGACAGCGGAGAAGTCTCCACTGTCAGAATGCAATACAATAGCACAGCGGAGAGGATTCCTCCATCCACCTTGCTTGTGTGGATGTGAGAATACATTTGTTTTTTTGATCTGCTAGCGGGCTGATAAAAAAACCCCATAAAAACAAAAAAAACAAATGGATTCTCCCATCCACACAAGCAAGGTGGATGGAGCAATCCTCCCCGCTGTGCTATTGTATTGTATTCTGACAATGGAGACTGCTCCACTGTCCATCTATGCCAAACTTTAGCAGTGCTTATTCAAAACAGACCCAGAACGATAACACACGCAGAAATATAATCCACCGGCCCGCATTAAGGGAATAATCTAAACAAAAAGTAGATATATTAAAACATGAAAAACCAGCATATATGGACCTTAAGGCTAGGTTCACGTTGATGCGGCTCCGCAAGCCATGTTTTGCGCAGGCATAGCAACCAGTTCATTTGAATGGGCTACCATGTCTCCTGAAATGCAGGGAAAAGGTCCCTGCACCATTTCTGGAATTGCAGCCCGCACGGGAACTGCAAGTGCAGTGTGTTCCCAGTGCAGGAGCAATTTCTAGTTCATGCGACCTGCCACACGTCTCTTTCATTTTTTGCTGCGTGAGTGACTGTGGCTACGGGAACAGGTGCAGACCTGCAGCAGGAACCCTCCACACAGATGTGTTCCTAGCCAAAGGGTAAAGTCCATTATGACATTAAGTGGGGCAGCCCATGCTCTTTCTATGTCCTGCTGTCTGAGGGAGCAAGGGATGCTCAAACACTAAATTTAAAAAAAAAATGCGCATTATGCACTAACGTAGTGTAGAACTTCAATATTTATTGGGCTAACCTGAAACCAAAATTTGCACCCATAAACCAATCAGGAGGAACGTGTATACCACTAGCCAGGACGGGTGTGTTTGGAGTGTTCTCTGGATTCTGATACACACGTTTCTCCTGCTGTATATAAATGGCTCTCTTCCACTGAGAATAATAGAGAGTCCAAACTTTGTATATCTGGCTATATCTGTTCCCAGTGTCTAATGTATAGAAGAAAAAAAAAAAATGACTTGGGCTTTGTTATGGGGCATGCCACATTGTGAGCCATTACATGTCTGTCATCCTTACAGAACCTCGTCTAGCCTCAGTAAATTTTGTTGTAAACTCAGACATTTGGACTTGGCATCATGCACCTCCATTACTAACTTATCCCTAAAGGCTCTCAGGTGAGATTTGCTATCATGTTTCTGTATCATGTTTCAGTATCATGGAATTAAATTGTTGTGTATGTTATTATATGAGTAGGCTGCTTGGGGCCAGATACAGCAAAAAAGCAAAAAAAAAAAAAAAACCCCTAAAAACCATTTGTTACCAGAACATCTGGCTAGACTGGAGTATGATGTTTCAGATTGCACATCATTTGTTTCATGTTGACAGGATACTGGTTAAAGGGTCCCAGTGACAAAATATTTCCTGAAAGTTGCAATAATTTGGGGATTCATTTAGCAGCACACCGTATGTAACTATGTAACATGTTGGAGAGATGTATGTTTTCTTTCTTTATTTTGCTTATGCATACTCTTTCCACATTTTAAAGTGGAACTATACTTACCCTTTCTCCAGCGATGCGGCATCACAGAGCTCCCCGCCTGGTCGCTGACACGCTTGTCATTGGTCGGGCAGGGATGATGTCACTTCTGCACATGCACAGGAAGTCAATCAGATTCGGCATTGCCAAATTTGCACAGTGAGCTGCCCATGCACGGCTCATTGTGCAGGGGTGGACAGAAAGGTAAGTAACTTTATGCAGAAGAGACATGTCTCTGCATTAAAGATTCCTGCCTATTCGCCCATTGTAATTTTTTTTTTAGCTAAAGTTCCACTTTAAGACCAGGCCTATTCTGATACTTCTCACATACATGTAAAAATCAGTATTTATTGGCTAGAAAATTACTTAGAAACCCCAAACACAATACATTTTTTTTTAAATCTAGGCCCTAGAGCAGGGGCGTCAAACTGGCGGCCTTCCAGCTGTTGTGAAACTACAAGTCCCATCATGCCTCTGCATTGGGAGTCATGCTTGTAACAGTCAGCCTTGCAATGCCTCATGGGACTTGTAGTTTGGCAAGTCCCTTTAGTAGTAGTTTGGCCAACAGTTTGACACCCCTGCGCTAGAAAATAAAATGGTGGGTTTTGCCATTTTTTTTTTTTTTTTATGTCACGTGGTATTTGCGCAGCGATTTTTCAAATGCAAATTTTTGGGAAAAAATACACTTTAATGAATTTTAGTGCAAAAAAAACGAAATAATTTCCAATTTTTTGCTGTAAAATATAAAAGATGTTACATTGAGTAAAAAGATACCCAGCATGTCACGCTTTAAAATTGTGCATGCACATGGTGTGGCGACAAACTACATCCATAGGCGATGTTTTAAAGCTTTTAGAGGTTATCATTTTAGCGTTACACAGGAGGTCTGATGCTAGAATTATTGCTCTCGATCTGACGTTCGTGGTGATATCTCACATGTATGCTGTGATTGCAGGTTTGGGACCAACACGTGCATTAGCCTTTGCGCAAGCACGAAGGTTGGAGCACTTTAAATTGCTTTTATTTTTATCTTTCCCTTTTTTAAATTTTTTTATGTTTTAAATCCACTTTATTGCTATTCCAATGGATCCTTGTGATAGCATGGGCAGATACAGGTACTCGTTACTGAGAGATCTAGGGTCTATTAGACCCCAGATCTCTCCTCTTCCTTTTAAAAGCATTGGAGTAAACCAAGTTCGGTTTGATCTGATGCTTTTCCAAGCCAGTAACGGCTTGTTTACATCAGGCGAAACCAGAAGTGACGAAATACTCTTTGCTTCCGGTTTCTTAGACCATTGATACAATTGGGGATCATCTCTACGGTCAGTTGGCAGAACCACCAGCTGCAGTCTTGTGCTCCCCAGTGGGACAGGAGAGGCCAGAAAGGTGGCTGGGGGGATGATGGGGCTGCCTGTAAAAGTGATCCAGCAGCTAGTTAGCCTCTAAGATCACTTTTACAAAAGCAGTCCATGGCCGGTATAAAACAATACTGCGATGAGGCCTGTAGCTGCAGGTATCACCCTGGTATAACTGCTCAAAGTTCCGTGACATACTGATACATTTCTGGGGCTGAAGTGGTTAAGGAGGTACTTAAAAGTGTATGCATGGCCAAGATATATAGGTGAAATAAAAAAAGAAAACCTCTTCACTACACATCTCCAATAAATGAACTTTTCCCCATGTTTTGTCTTTTTAAAACCATAAAAGTACAAAAAATTACTTGGTGATTCTTTTAAAAATGCAGTGAGCTCCTAACCTTTTGTGCTTTCTGCCTGTGCTGCCCTGAAATCCCAGCTAGTGTCCTTGCCCAATTCACTTTTGTGTCCTACCACGCTCCTCACATGTTATAAAAATTTAGAGTGTGGGGTTCTCTAGTTTTAACCCACTTCCTGTTCCAGGGTGACAACGCTGCTCCTCCATGGACACAGTACAGTGAGTGTTGTCACCTCATGACAGGACATGTGCTACTGGTAGGCTCACCAGCTGAAAATAAAGAAGGAACCCATGCAGAAGAAAAATATATTTGAAATATATTTTAAAAATATTCTTCCCAAATATATTGCCATATATTTGAAGTAATATATATATATATATATATATATATATATATATATATATATATATATACACGTTTTTATTACAAAATATATAACTATTTTAAAAAATCAATTTCAAATATACTGTATGTCTTTAAAAATACAAATCTACATTTTTGGAATGCATTTACAAATATACCGTATTTCGTGCTCCATAAGGCGCACCTGACCATAAGACGCACCTAGGTTTTAGAGGCGGAAAACAAGAAAAAAAATATTCTGAACCAATGGACTGCAGACATAGTACAGGAAATGACCAGAGACTGCAGACATAGTACAGGAGATGACCAAAGACTGCGGACACGGTACGGGAGATGACCAGGGACTGCGGACACGGTACAGGAGATGACCAGAGACTGCGGACTGGTACAGGAGATGACCAGAGACGGTACAGGTACAGAGATGACCAGAGACTGCGGACACGGTACAGGAGATGACCAGAGACTGCGGACACGGTACAGGAGATGACCAGAGACTGACTGACCAGAGACACGGACACGGTACAGGAGATGACCAGAGACTGCGGACACGGTACAGGAGATGACCAGAGACTGCGGACACGGTACAGGAGATGACCAGAGACTGCGGACACGGTACAGGAGATGACCAGAGACTGCGGACACGGTACAGGAGATGACCAGAGAATGCGGACAGAGACTGGTACAGGAGATGACCAGAGACTGCGGACACAGTACTGGAGATGACCAGAGACTGCAGACAGTACAGGGGATGACCAGAGACTGCGGACACAGTACAGGAGATGATCAGAGACTGCGAACACAGTACAGGGAATGACCAGAGACTGCGGACACAGTACAGGGAATGACCAGAGACTGCGGACACAGTACAGGGAATGACCAGAGACTGCGGACACAGTATAGGGAATGACCAGAGACTGCGGACACAGTATAGGGAATGACCAGAGACTGCGGACACAGTACAGGGAATGACCAGAGACTGCGGACATAGTACAGGGAAAATACCAAGGACATAGTACAGATGACCAGAGGCTGCAGACAGTGCAGACCAGTGCAGGGGGGATGACCAGAGACTGCGAACATAGTACAGGGAATGACCAGAGACTGCGGACATAGTACAGGGAAAATACCAGGGACATAGTACAGATAACCAGAGACTGCGGACCTTTGGGGAGGGAGGGGGAGCGGGTACCTGAATTTGACAGGTACCCGCTCCCACTTCCGTGGAGTTGTCCTTCCCTCTTCTTCCCACGCTGGCTTCTGTGACAGCCGGGTGCCCACTGCGTATGCGCGAGAAGCGCTGCGCTTTGTGAATGGCCCGGCGCCTTCTGTGACCTGTCGTGTCCCAGAAGACACCGGACCATTCACAAAGCGCAGCGCTTCGCGCGCATGCACAGTGGGCACCCGGCTGTCACAGAAGCCGATGCGGGAAGACTGTACAGCGCTGGAGTGAGGAACAGGTAAGGTCCTGCAGGAGAGAAGAGCTGAGCGGCTGGCCCGATATTCTGACGTGGTGGCGGCAAAAATACCGGACCAGCCGCTTTATATTCGCTCCATAAGACGCACTGACATTTTCCCCCCTTTTTTGGGGGGAAAAAAGTGCGTCTTATGGAGGGAAAAATACGGTATGTTAAAATGACTTTTTTATTTGTTAAAAAAACATTCAGTATATTTGAAATGTATTTTTAAAAATATTTGTCATATTTCGTGTGTGTGTGTCTCTATATATATATATATATATATATATATATATATATATATATATATATATATATATATATATATATTAAATATGGCCCAAATTGTAGTATTTCAAATATATGGCAATATATCCATATATTTGAGAAGAATGTTTTTAAAATATATTTCAAATATAATATTTCTTCCATGTGGGAAAAAACAGGGAGAAAAATAAGAAAACAAATGCAGCAACCACATATGAGGACAGGTTATCTTCAGCAAATTAAAAATGTGCTCAACACTTTAAAGCCTTGTTTACATGGGTGTTAAGGGAGAGGTAAAAACAGGTGGTTTAGCCACAGTTTTAACTCCCCACCTCAAAAAAATAACATGCAGGCAGAGGGGCTTTTACACGTCTCAGCCATGATGCTTTGTGGTCACAGCTAATTTAACTTGGCTTGTTGGGTTTAACAGACAGCACTTTCTGTCAAACTTTCCCATTGAAGTCAATGAAACCACAAAGTGAACATGAGCCAAATGCTTGGCTCGCAGTACTTTCATTTAAATATCCGAGTTGGGCAGGAAAAATGTTTTATTTAAATGGAATTCAGGAGGTGGCATAATTTTTTCCTGAATGCCTGGAAACTGCTGCTCTACTACCCTCTGAATCCACTGATCCACTGCCGATCACTTTTTAGAGGGGCAGTAGAGACTGCCATCCATCTAAAAGAGGCGTAACACTGTTAAAGCTGGCCCTCTTTCTTTTCTTTTTACTTTACAATTCGCTTTATCACCCTTTTTTTTCTTGAAATCGCAAAAAGGTGGTGAATGGTTGTCTTGTGCCTTCCTTTGCTGTTTTTGTAGACTGAGGGCCAGAGACACTCTCCAATGCTCTTGGTATGCACAAGTAATAGGTTTATGGAAGGGATCAAGCTGGGATTATGGACCCCAATTATGTCACTTTGAGGCCGCATTCACACTTTGCAATTCTAAATCGCACTGCAATAATGGCAAAACGCATCGCGCTATGTTTGAATGTTGAAGGTCTCAGGAACGGTGTCTGTGTCCCCGCTGAGAAGGCTGCGGTGGGCACTGAAGGAGACTGGAGATGGTGGAGCCGGCCAGCATGTGTGTCTCCGGCTGGAAGAATGGTGGACGCCAACATTGTGCTCCATGGTGTGCTCCACTGTTCTTCCAGCCAGAGACAAACATGCCGGATGGCTCCACCATCTCCAGTCTCCTTCAGCGCCTGGCGCTGTCTTCCCAGCGGGGACACAGACCCTGTTCCTGAGACCTTGTTCACCAGTCCTTTTTACCATGTTCGCTATGTGAGTGCCTTTTTATCCCTTGCTAATAAATGTCTGTTACTACTGCACTTAGAGGCGCTTTTCTCTTATCTTGTCTTAGAACCCTTTTGTGTGAAAGGAACCTTAAGACAAGATAATAGAAAAGCGCCTTTAAGTGCAGTAGTAATGGACATTTTATTAGCATACGGATCAAAAGGCACTCACACAGTGAACATGGTAAAAAGGGCTCGTCTGGTGAACAAGGTCTGAAGAATGGTGTTTGTGTCCCCGCTAGGAAGACTGCGCCAGGCGCTGAAGGAAACTGGAGATGGTGGAGCTGGCCAGCATGTGAGTCTCTGGCTGGAAGAACGGTGGAGCGCACCATTGGCGTCCACCGTTCTTCCAGCCAGAGACGCATGCTGGCTAGCACCACCATCTCCAGTTCCCTTCAGTTCCCGTCGGGGACACAGACACCGTTCCTGAGACCTTGTTCACCAGACGAGCCCTTTTTATGTTCACTATGTGAATGCCTTTTTATCGGTATGCTAATAAATGTCCATTACTACTGCACTTTGAGGGGTTCTTTTATCTTGTCTTAGAACCCTTTGTGTGAAAGGAACCTTAAGACAAGATAAGAGAAAAGCGCCTCTAAGTGCAGTAGTAATGGACATTTATTAGCATACGGATTAAAAGGCACTCACACAGTGAACATGGTAAAAAGGGCTCGTCTGGTGAACAAGGTCTCAGGAACGGTATCTGCGGTGGGCACTGAAGGAGACTGGAGATGGTGGAGCCGGCCAGCATGTGTGTCTCCGGCTGGAAGAACGATGGACGCCAACGCTGCGCTCCATGGTGCGCTCCACCGTTCTTCCAGCCGGAGACACACATGCTGGCCGGCTCCACCATCTCCAGTTTCCTTCAGTGCCCGGCACGACCTTCCCGGTGGGGACACAGACCCCGTTCCTGAGACCTTGTTCACCAGACGAGCCCTTTTTACCATGTTCATTGTGTGCGCTTTTCTCTTACCTTGTCTTAGAACCCTTTGTGTGAAAGGAACATCATCAGGTCCGCCTGTCAGATTTTCAGGAAGGCTTGATCAGATGGTTCATTTGCCTCTGTGGACCAGCGGGTGTCCATATACACCCACCTACCTCCAATCCAATCTGGTTAGCTAAAAAAAAAAAATGAAAGAGATCTATCCCCCTTTATCTAGGCGGATTGAATCAGAAGGCAGTCGGTGTAAATGGACAGTGGAGTCCGTTTATACCCAGCAGCCCATAGAGCAGACCATGCTGTGTCCGTATCCACTCTGCATAAACTGAGCAGACACAGACCTGTCATCCGCCCGCTCTGATCTGATCAGCAGGGGATCAGCGGAGTCTGCCTGGTGTGGAATGGGTCGAAGTACTTCGCTGGTTTGAATCACTGACATGGAACAGGTACACAGATCAAGGTGTTCTACATTTTCCCGGCTGCACGTGATTCACATTTCTCTTATGGTGGGTTTACTTAAAAATAATACATCTGTTAGCACTTGTGAATTAAATGATTGGAGTTGAGCCAGTCATAATTACATTGTTGGACCCAGACCTTGTTTTTACTAAGTGCCTTTCAAGCAATAGCCCAAATGTGTGTGTTTCTGGTAAATGGAAGGGTTTCTAATCAACATCCCTTCTCTGTGCATGACAGTGAGGGCTGCCCCCTCCTGGAGCAACTGAACATCTCATGGTGTGATCAGATCAGCAAGGATGGGATCCAGGCTCTGGTAAAGGGCTGCGGGGGGCTGCGGTGCCTGTCCCTCAAGGGCTGCACTCAGGTATGCCAAATTTCTTGTACCCTGCAATTGATTCAAGACTAACAGAAATGAGTGTGAATTGCATAACTAACCAATGTATAAGTGGATGTCTATTCTTATCTCACATGTTTACCATTTTATGGTGCACACTGCTGCAGCCTCATTGTCGCATGACTTCAGAGTCAACGGGACTCCTGCGTTGCATTGAAGTTGCATCAAAGTAGTGCAGGAACCTTTTTCTGAAGTTGCTGTGACTTGAGGCGCAGTGATTGGATAATCTAATAAATAAATGTATTTTGACTAGTCATACAACTTTGTGTCACAAGCCGAATGACAAATTGCAGCAGTGTGAACCAGGGCTAAGGCTGAACTGTAGAAATCTAGAGCAGGGGTCTCCAAACTTTGGAAATAAAGGGCCAGTTTAGTGCCCTTCAAACTTCAGGGGGGCCAGACTTTGGCCAGTGGGAGTAAAAAAAAATGCCTTGTATCAACTTAAAACAAATTGCCACAACCTGGGAGTAAACCATGCCATAGACCTTTTGTTCAGTGGGAGGAATAGTGCCTCATCATTGGTGTCAGTGAGAGGCATAGTGCCCCATCATTAGTGTCAGTGGGAAGAATAGTGCCCCATAACTGGTGTCAGTGGGAGGAATAGTGCCCCATCATTGGTGTCCGTGTGAGGAATAGTGCCCCATCATTGGTGGCAGTGGGAAGAATGGTGCTCCATCATTGGTATTGGTGGGAGGAATGATGCCCCATTGTTGGTGTCAGTGAGAGGAATAGTGCAGCATCATTGGTACTGGTGGGAGGAATAATGCCCCATCATTGGTTGCAGCGGGAGTAATGGTGCCCCATCATTAGTGTCAGTGGGAGTAATGGTGCCCCATCATTGGTTGCAGTGGGAGAAATGGTGCCCCATCATTAGTGTCAGTGGGAGAAATGGTGCCCCATCATTGGTATTGGTGGGATCAATGATGCCCCATTGTTTGTACTGGTGGGAGGAATGGTGCCCTATCATTGATGTCAGTGGGAGGAATGGTGCCCCATCATTTGTCAGTGGGAGGAATGGTGCCCCATCATTTGTGTCAGTGGGAGGAATGGTGCCCCATCATTGGTGTCAATGGGAGGAATGGTGCCCCATCATTGGTGTCAGTGGGAGGAATGGTGCCCCATCATTGGTGTCAGTGGGAGGAATGGTGCCCCATCATTGGTATTGGTGGGAGGAATGATGCCCCAGTGTTGGTGTCAGTGGGTGGAATGGTGCCCCATTGTTGGTGTCAGTTGAAGGAATAGTTCCGAATCTCTGGTGTCAGTGGGAGGAGTAGCACCCGTCTTTGGTGTCAGTGGAAGGAATAGTGCCTAGTATCAATGGAAAGAATAGTGTCCCAAGGGCCAGATAAAGGCAAGCAAAGGGCCACATCCAGCCCGCAGGCCGCAGTTTGAAGACCCCTGATCTAGAAGGTAGCAGAGCTTTATGTTTTTGTTTTTTAAAAAATGTCATCCGTGTTAAGACTGAACATGGTGCAAATAAACTTTTTTTTTTTTTTTTTTTCCTTAAATCTCTAAATGTGCACCAAATTCCACTGCATACCTGGATCATGCTTTGTATATTTAGTGTTGACCTTCTCATTGTGCTGCACATAGCTTGTGCAATAAGCAGAGTTGTTGGAGGGACTCAGCAGGTCTTCCTCTATAGGCTAAACTACAGCTGGGTGGATGCATGACCCGTCACCCTGTCCAATGAAAGAAAGCAGCTGTAACTGATCCTTATTACGGGACGTTCTTGCACAGACGCAAAATGCAGGAGTTGTCCATGCTGGAGTACAGCAGATATCTGGAAGAAATACAAAAATGACCTCAAGATTCAAGTTGGAATGCACATGCCTTTTGTATTTAGACAATATCTGTTTAGCCCCAAGTTCAGCTTTATTTCCTTACATTTTATTGGTTTTAAATTCTGTTTAAGTATTGGTTTCTCCCAAGCTCTTTGGCAATGGAGTGGTAATATGAGCATGGGCCGGGTTAGAAGGCTACCCATGGTTTTTGAAGGACAATGTTGATATGTGGATAAGAGTGAGGCATTGTTGTGGCTACAGCCTCACAGGGTCTTCTGAAACCGATATTCACCTGCTACTCTACATAGGTCGACAATGGCAGAAACTGCACGCTTTGTCTTGGTATTTCAAATACCAAGCCTTGGAGTTCAAAGGTAAACAACATTCACAACATTATTGGACATCAGAATTATGAATATGATTTTATTGGGTTGGCTACAGACCAGCTTTAAAGGATAAGGTCACCTTTTGACCAAAAAATAATAAATGCACATTTTTTTGCAGGTATAAAAATGTGTGTGTATTAGCCTATAAAGCATTGCACCTGGGATTAGCAGATCGCTGGTCCCATGCAGGTCTCCTGCAGACTTGTCAGTATATCTGCTTGCTGTACGGGATGTACGGGCAAGCAGATATTCTGACAGGAAGATTCACTGAATTACCACAGCGTTCCACAGCACCGTGGTAGAGTTATTATTGTTATACAAGATTTATATAGCACCAACAGTTTGTTCAGTGCTTTACAATATAGCGGGAGACAATACAGCAACAATACAGTTCAATACAAGAGTGTTAGGAGGGCCCTGCTCCTGAGAGCTTACAATCTAAGCTGGTAGTACAAAAGGTATTAACTGTGGGGGATGGACTGGTAGGAGGAATAGAAGATTCTGTTATTAGCCGAGGGCAGGATAGGCTTCCCTGAAGAGAGAGGTTTACAGAGATCGGCTAAAAGTGAGCAGAGTAGGCAATAGTCTGATAAATTGGGGTAAAGAGTTTGAGTATGGGGGAAGCTCTGGGGAAGTCCTGGAGACAAGCATAGGAGGAGGAGACAAGGGAGCTAGAGAGCAGGAGGTCGTGCAAGTTCGTTGAGAACTACAAGCCAACAGCTGCTAAGGCTGCTGGGACTTGTAGTTCATTCACAGAACACTGAATGAATGACGCAACCGTGTGGGTGGAGCGGCCGAACTGTTTTTAAAAAAGTGACAGCTAGTATGGGGAACTTCTCCCTGTACTGTAAACAAAACTGTTCTCTCCCCCTGATTGCCCACCGCAGTCCTGCTATAAGTCGCTGATCGTCGCCATTACTAGTAAAAATTAAAAAAATAAAAAGCCCAGTATATATACCACCATTTGTAAACACTATAACTTTCACTTAAACCAATTAATTTACACGTATTGGAAATTTTTTTTTATTATTATTATTATACAGGATTTATATAGCGCCAACAGTTCGCTCAGCGCTTTACTATATAAAGGGAGACAATACAGCAACACTACAGTTCAATACAAGAGGGTTAGGAGGGCCTGATCCTGGGAGCTTGCAATCTAAGAGCAAAGACCTGTAGCAGAATTCATTTTGGCCTAAATTTATGATGAAATTTGATTTTTAAAATCTTTTACTGGACATGTTTAATAGCAAAAAGTCAACAATATAGTTTTTTTTTTTTTAAATTGTCGGTCTTTTATTTTTTTTTTTAATAGCGCAAAAAATAAAATAGCACCGAAAGAAAGCTCAATTCGGGGGGGAAAAAAAGGATGTAATTTTTATTTTGGGTGCAGCATTTCATGACCGTATAATTTTCAGTTAAGTAATGCAGTGCTGTAACACAGAAAATGGCCTGGTCAGGAAGGGGGGTAAATCCTCTGGAGGGGAAGTGGTTAAAGTTATATTAAAGGCTCAAGTTTTTTAATAAAAAAAATCATGTCATACCTACTCTCTGCAATGGTTTTGCGCAGAGCAGCCTTGATCTTCCTCTTCTCAGGTCTGGTGCTCCTGGCCTTCTCCCCTCCCTGCTGAGTGCCCCCAGAGCAAGTGGCACTTGTGTATGCTCACTCCCATGCCCTGCTTTGTATGTCTATAAGACACACAATGCGTGGCTCAGCCCTAACCCCACTCACGTCTCACTGGCTGTGAATGACAGAAGTGGGAGCCAATGAGGAGAGACACCTGGGAGAGTCGAGGCTCTTGTGCCGAGCGCTGGATTGAGATTGGGCTCAGGTAAGTACTGGGAAAGCTGTGGGGGCTGCACACAGAAGGTTTTTCATCTTCATCCATAGAATACATGAAGGTAAAAAAACCTTCAGCCCTTACAGTCACCTTAAGCCCAAAAACACATTTCGGGAATGTTTAACGTCACTGTGAGATTTTTATTTCTGTCCGTGTGCCTGCTTTTCAATGAGTCAGACATTTCATAGACTTGCCTAAACCTAGCCTCTGATTTTGCAGGTGTGAGTTCAGGCAGTCAGCATGGTGGCAACCTCCAGACTTTGGGTCCCACGCAGGAAAAAGCAGCAGTCTACCTTTCTTTTGCTCCTCCACTACTTCTTTAGCCTGCAGGAGTTCAAAGCAAAGTGATTTGTTTAGCTAGTTCAATAGCTTCACAATTTTATCCAAAGCAAATAAAAAATAGTTTTGGCTGTAGTTCTACTTTCATCAAGACTGGGAGATGTGCTACAATCTGTAAATGTGAACTTTAGGCAAATTTAAACACATTAATGCAGCTCTGTAATATATTAAAGTGTTACTAAACCCACAACAGTAAAATCAGTCTGTACATGCAGTAAAGCATGCTTATTATATTCATTGTGGAACCTAAGGGGTTAATCCTCTACACTGTGTAAAAACACAGTTTGATCCTGTCTTCTCTGATCCTCCCCTTCTTCCAGTGCCCCCCTCTTATCTCCTGATAAGACATATGGTGTTGAGTCACTCTGCACATGCTCAGTTTGGTGTGTATTGCTAGAGAGGGTTTTTTTCTTGGGAGAGTGCATGTGATCAGCCCAGGACCGGGAATCAGCACTGTCCAGACAGGTCAAGGGTTCTGTATCCTCCTAGAGCAAAATGAAAACTCCTACAAGCTTTAACCAGTGCTTTGCTGGACACTGATAGACTGTTCTAAATGCTGATGAGAAAAGTTATTTAGCAATTTATATTTAATAAAATAACTGCACTTCCTTGTTGTGTGT